AAACCAAAACGACGACTATTATACAAAAACAAAAATCAAACTTCATTTCAAAATAAAATATAAAATAAAATAAAAAACCGACGTTAAAAAAATCAAACAATCAATCATTTCATCTTAAATCAATTGATCGGCGCAAAAATTAACAAGTTATTTTTTAGAATTATAGTATTCGTTGTTTTTTTATTTAAAAATATATTAAAATAATATTTTAATATATATATATATCTAATATAAATGCTTTAAAATAATACAGAATCATTAAAATATTTATTTAAAAAAAAATTAACACAACAACAAACATACTCTTATAAACTACAATAAAAAAATAAAAAAATATGTTGTAATAACAATATCTTATAAAAAATACAGTCATCAGAGATTTTGTTGATGTTGTAAATGAGTTTTTTAACATTCTTTAAATATTTTTTTGATATTTAAATATAAGAACAAGATAAAAATCATTAGAGCTAACATGAAAATAATCAAAAAAATGAACTCTCGTAGAAAAACTTTTTTGATGTGATTGGTTATTACACAAGCATCACAAATATAATGCTACTCTCCTATAAATTCTTTTTTGATGTGATTGGTTATTACACAAGCACCATAAATATAACGTTACTTTCATAGGAAAGTTTTTTTTAACATGATTGGTTATTACATAAATACTACAAGTTAAATGTTATCAATTATTTTATTTGGTATCACCAATCAGTCAACTAGTTTATTTAAAATTTTAGATTTTGATAGTTTAAGAGTGCTTTTATTTTTGTTTCTTGATACTTTTAAAAAATGCTTTTGATTTTTTTTAAAAAGTACCAAATTGATACTTTTTTAACTTTTTTTTCAATGATTTTTACATGTTAATGTTAAAAATTAATAATAATAATAAATTTAATTATAAAAAAATCATTCACCTCAATCTCAAACTATTACATAGGTATTTATGAATTCATGCTGGATAACACCTAGCAGCAAAGTGGACACTAATATATATATATATAGCTTTCACTATATTATTTTTTTAAAGGCTGTTTATTTTTTGTATTTAAAAAAAATTAATTTTTTTATGTTTTAATTTATTTTATAATAATAATTTTTTAGTGTTTTCATTTTATTTTAATACACTAATATAAAAAATAAATTTTAAAAAATAAAAAATATTATTTTAATATATTTTCAAATAAAAAATATTTTAAAAAATAATAACAATCACCCACCTAACTACAATAAAGTAATTTGAAAAATATCATTTTAATCTGTTCACCACAATGTCTTTTCCTTTATGAAAAAGATTGATCTCCATCCATGGCCATACTCCAAATAAGTTAAACAAATCAAAACAATAACAGTTATTAAAAAAAAATTAAAACCTATTTCAAAATATAAAAAACCCACCGAAAAAAATCAAACAACCAATCATTTTATCTTAAATTTTTTATTTTAAAATATATTTAAATAATTTATTTTTAAAAAAATTATTTCTAATATCATCACATTAAAATAATACAAAATTATTTAAAAACTTTATTTAGAATAAAAGATTTTAAAAATTAACATAAAAACAAACGCACTTTTATAAACTACAATAAAATACAGTCATTTGTCGTTGTAAATGAGTTAATTAATATTTCTAGAATTGTTTTAGATATTTTAGTATAAAATCAAGTTAAAAACATTTAATTTTAACTTTAATTTTCAATCAATAGAGCTGTGGTCGTAAGTTTACCAGAAAAAGCTTGACAAATGAAATAATTTTATTTCCTTTATTATAAATAATTTTATAAGTTAGAATATTTACAAGAAAAGCTTTATCCACCTGTCAGACTTTTCTTGACGTGATCGGTTACCAGACACCTCTAGTATGAGTTAGAGTATGATCGGTTAGGAAATGATGCCAAATTTCGTAAACTAATGTAATAACCCTCGAAGTAGTTTAATTAACCTACCACAAATGACAACGAAGACGTGCACTTTTGTTAGATAGTTTTAATGTTAAAACAAATCTCGGATTTATTTTTTTCCAATGTAAAAAATAATAATTAAACATTACTAACATGTTTTTTAATAAAAATTATTTTAATCATAAAATTAAAATATAATAAATATTGGATTCTATTTTTTTTAATTATAAAAATAATAATATACTGAATCAAATTCTTTCTAATATACAAAATCAAGGTATTGCTAATGTGATTTCTAGCTAAAATAAAAACTATAATTATGAACTCAAAACATAATTCATAGTAAATAATATTTTTTAAAATATTAAGACAATAAGTATTAAATGATATTTTTTAAAAAATATTTAGATGATTATAAATTAGATTGAATTGGGTTATCTCATGTAAATCTATCAAATTCATCATTTGAGTTATGAAATCTTAATAACCTAATAAAAATAATTAAAATAAATTATAAAATTTAATTTTCAGTTAATTTAATGTTAAAAAATAAAAATAAAAAAACCATCCTAGTCAATGTGAGTTACTTTTTCAAATCATTACTAATGTCATAAGATCATGATAACTTTATATAAAAAAAATTAAAAAATAAAGTATAATTTTACCAATTACATATTAAATAATTAAATTATATATAAAAAATTAAATTATTGAAAGATGAAATTAAAAATTATATATATTAAAGCAAAGCATTGTTACAGTGAGAAAGGAAAAAAATAAAAATTCCCAAAGTGTGGGTATAGGTTTGTTTTTTATTATTAAACGAGATGCTTGTTTCTTTAAGAAAAATAGCGATAAGCTGCCTATAGTGATAAGTGACCTGCATTGTTTGATCCGTCGGAAGATTAAAAATCAGGATAAGTTTTTTAGCCCTCAAAACTTAATTTTCAATTTATTTTTTTTGCTTGAAAACACCTTTAAATATAATATAATCCTTAAAGAGCAGTTAACAACATCAAAACATCCTCCAAAATCTAAAAATAAAAACCAATCAAATAAAAAAAAAATGGATCCCAATCAACACTAAAAAATAAGGAGATTCTCCATTGAACTATTCTAAAAAAAAAATCACTAACACAAAGATTGTTTTATTATTTGATTGTTTTATTATTTTTTGTGTATGGAATGTAATTGGGTGACAACTTTCTTTCTATTTTGCTATTTTCTAGCAGTTTTTTTTTAAATCTAAGGATTAATAAATAAATAAAATAAAATTTTGAATTAAAATCAAAATTTTAAGACTTTTAAGATTGGTCATGCATCTTTTTTCATGTTTTACATTACAGTTCTCTCTTTAAATATTATTTTTCTATAATAATTTAACATTTTACCTCATAAAATTAGGACAGAGAAGAATTCAATAAAAAATTAAGGAAACAAATTTAAAAAAAAATGAAAAGAAAAAAAATGTAGAGATCACGATTCATGAACAATGAAGCTCCTTTCAGCTATTAGTACGGAGTTAGTTCCAATGCCTCTACGTAACACTCATAGTATACACCGATCATTTATAATTATTTGGGATCCACAATCACCACTTATTGTTATTCAACATATTCATTTGTATGAAATTCTAGTATAATTCATTTGCTCATAAATCCTTTTTACACGGCTTAATTGAGAGGAGTTTTTCTTTTACGTTCATACATGGATAGGAATGCATTGTTGCAACAAAATTACAATATTAAAAACACTCTAAAAAATATGAAAAAATAATATAACTTTTTCCATGGCTTTTATTTTTGTTGTACTAATATTTTTATTTTGTTTTTTTAATTTTTTTTACATGTTTATTTTTTCCCATGATTTACTTCTTTTTTAAAAAAAATTATATATTTTTTTAATATTTAACTGATTGAGAATTTAGTTTTATCATTTAAAACAATTATGAATTGCTATAATATTTTTCTATATGAGTTTTTTTTTATAATTTTTTTTTCAAAATGGTCATTTTCAGTTTTTTTTTTATATTGAACTAGTTGAGGATTTAGCTTTGTAGTTTTTTTAAAAAAAATATTGTAAATTGCTACAATATTTTCTCCACGTTGTTTTTGTTTTGCTACAATATTTCTCTATGTTTTTTTTTTAAATTATTTTGTTGATTTTTTTAATATTAAACTGGTTGAGAATTTAGCTTTGGCTTTCCCCAACTGTTTTTTCTTTATTTCTTTATTTTTATTTTTTTTGGTTTTTTCCCAAAATTTTCTTTTTTGTGTTTTTTTCAGAATTATTTCTGTTAATTTTATTTTTTTAATATTAAGTTGTTTGAGAATTTAGCTTTATAGTTTTTTCTTTAAAACATTGTTGATTGTTACAGTATTTTTTTATATGATTTTTTTTGTTTTCTTTATTTTTTTTCCAGAAATGTCTTTGTCAATTTTAGTTTGTTTTTTTTTTCATATTCAGCTAGTTGATAATTTAGCTTTATAATGTTTTTCTTAAAAAAAACATTATGAATTACTACAATATTTCCTCACATGATTTTTTCTTACAACAGTGTTTTTCCACATGTTTTTTTATTGATTTTTTCCTAAAATTATCTGTCGAATTTAGTTTTTTCATATCGAGCTTATTGAAAATATTTAACTTTGTATTTTTTTTTAAACATCATTAATGGCTAAAGTGTTTCTTCACATGATTTTTTTGGTTATATTTTTTTAATTTTTTTAATATTGATTTTTTTGTTATATTTTTTTAATTTTTTTAATATTGAGTTGGTTAAGAATTATAATTATATATTTTATCATAAAATATTATAAATTGATGTAGTGTTTTTTATATGATTTTTTTTTATTTTTTATGATTTATTTTTAAAATTATTTTTATCTATTTTTTAATATTAAATTGATTGAAAATTTAATTTTATAATTTATTTTTTAAAAAAATATTATAAACTGTAATAATATTTCTCAAATTTTTTATAATTTTTTCTATAAATTTATAACGACACGTAAACACACCATTAACCCACGGCACCATATAGGCATGGCAACTAGTCTATTTGCAAAACATGTAGCTCATCAAACTTCTATCTTGGGAATGCTAAAAGCTGATGAACAGCTATTTTATTTATTCCATAAATATCGTTCTACACGGGCAAGCATGAACGCTTCAATTATGGTAGAAACTGGTAATGCATACTCTAATTTCTGCAAAATGCAATTTTAAGCAGTAATCTACTTGAAGAACTCCATTACCCAAAAATTACAAACGAAGGTTTCAAATTTGATGCCACGGAATCCAGCTGCAGTGGCCAGGGTCTTGAATTCATCTTCAGTCCGTTCTTTCCCTCCTGGATTTTGAGACATCATCAGTACATCAAGTTGCGAGATCGCTTTCGCAGCAGGACTTGTCTTGGCCGTGATCGGAAGAACTGATTCCATAACAATTACCTTCCCATCCTCTGGAATAGCTTTGTAGCAGTTCTTCAACAACTTCAAGCAGTGATCATCACTCCAATCATGGAGTATCCACTATAAGATTATATATCCAGTAGTCGTTATTAGTGATTTTGGTGTCTAAAATTGATCAAGTGGATTATATGCCGTCAGACTTTTGGTACCTTCAAGAAAATGGCATTTCCTTTGGGAACACTTTCAAACATATCTCCTCCCACGTGTTCCACACCTGTATGAGAAACCAGTTCAACATCTATGACTAGGTCTTTCGTTGTATAGTCTTTGCCTTGTCCTGTAAAGCCTGTGATGCTTTGCAAACTTCTCTTCTTTTCTTTTGGGTTCACTGAAAACATTTTTATGGGTAAAGTATATGTGTGGCTTGTCATGTTTTAGATTGTGGCACCTCAAATTTCAGATTTTGGTCGTATGAGGTTTGAAGTTTCAGGCGGATTAATTAATGAATACGGAGCATGTTATCATGTTTTCCTAAATTCTCTCATTTTTTCAATTTAATTTTCCCACAGCGTTTGATTAACCTTAATCAATGACATAAACATAAGCTAGTATATATCAGCGGAATCAGAGAGAATAAAATTTAACAATTACCATAAATTAAACGTTAGGAGAGGAGGAACAAGACATCCCAGGATAGGCCGGCGCATGCTCTATAACATGTGGCAAGTCGAAATTGATACCCTTGATTTGGGGATATTTAGAGGTTACTGCCTTCATAGTGTGTCCCAAGCCACCACCAATATCAACCAGCTGTTTCAGGTTCTTGAAACCATTGTATTTCTCAAGCATATTTCCAATTACAACAGTGGTTTGGTTGTACATTGCTGTGTTGAATACCTGATTGAACCTAGGGTCCAAGCCAGGGTACTTAAAGGCATGTACTGCGTGGACTCTGTCAAACGCAACTCCTCCTTCAAGAACTGCATCTTTTAGTTGAGACCTAGCAGGAAACGGATAAACATTGAGACTAGATAGCTGCCCTTATCAACAAAATAGAGAAAGATAGGGGAGAGAAATGATGATAAGAGGTACAATGTTTACTAATATTATTATAGTAAATTGAAGCAAGCAAAAATTAAGTCGAGAAAATGTGACAATATATAGGGAGGGACAAACCAACTCTGTAAGAAGACGTTGTCTTGAATCAAGGCCATGAAGGGGGCCAAAGAAACACCATTTTTGTTGGGCACAAAGTACTTGGACACAGGAGCCAGACTGTAGAATCTCTCCGAGCCATCGACAAAACAACAAAGCACTTGGTGGCTAGCCAAGAGCCTTAGAATACGGTCCAGCATCTTTGGTGCATCGGGGTTATCTGTGGGCATCTTGGCTGCGATATCTGAAGCAGAGAGTTTGACATCTGGACCTGCTTTGGCTATGATCTCAAAGATGCCGAGCTGAATCGCCGTGTGTAGAGTCATGGGTAGCACTGAGCTCAAAGCTAGTTGCATGGCATATCCAAAGTGTTCATCTTTTGCTTCATCAACTTGACTGGCTTGATTTTCTATTGAAGATGCCATAATGCTTTTTGAGGATGTTAATCAATTTTAGATAGAAGAAACCTGAGGCGTTTATGAATATTCCGCTTCAAAAGTATTTATAATGGAAGACTGGATGAAATAGGTGACAGTGGAGTAATCTTTTTATGAACCATAATCGAACGTACCACTGGTGACAGTGGAGTAATCTTTTTATGAACCATAATCGAACGTGCCACTCACGCGTTACATGAAATTGGAAAAAAAAATATTTAATTATTTAATTATTTTATATATTTTTAGATTGTTTTAATATATTAATATGAAAAATAATTTTTTTTAAAATAAAATATATAATTTTAAAATATTTTTAAATAAAAATTACTGTAAAAAATAAGAATTAGTACATGCTACCGACATATCCACTTATATATTAAATTAAATTAAACCAGAACAAAACCAAATATCCTGGGTGTTTTACTATAGACGAGTGGATTGTACATACTCTGTGAATTGTAAAATGGAATTTTTTTCATTTTAATAATTAATTCTTTATATGTTCTGTTTGTTTTTTGTGGGTTAGTTTCTTTTCTTTGAATATCCTTAACAATTAAAGGCGTTAATTAGATTCAAAAAATTAATTGGATGTCAATTAAAGGATGTATAATTTGAATTTGTAGCATATCTATACAATTAAAAAAATAAAAAAATAAGAAAAAAAACATGACTCATCTTAAATTCATGCAAAAAAATTACATTTTAGACCATATATTACCTGTGACTTTATTTTTTATCCATTTATTTTTAGAAATATTAATTTTAATTTAAAATTTTATTTTATTTATATTTTATTTTAAAATTGAAAAAAAAGAGTTAAAAATAAGATACGAAAGTGATCGGATGAATTTTTCACCATAGCTAGAATTAAAGATCAAGCATGCAGGCCCAGAAAGCTATAGCCCAACGGTGGAAGGAATTTGTTTCCTTTCTCTACATCAGGGTTCAAGTTTTATTGTGCATGTTTGTTATCTCGCCGGTATCTTATATATTTATTGGGCTTGCAGGATGTTCAATGAGTTAGGAGATTACTTGTGATGCGTGAAAAAAAAAAATCAGGCATGCAGGCCTAGCTTGCATGCTCACATCCGCCAGAACTTCTATTTGTGAGTCATTTGCACTGGCTCACCCTAACCTGAGTGTCTAGTTTCTTTTTAAACAACATTTTATTATTATTTTTATTTTTTATTAATTTTTAATTAAAATAAATTGTTAAGAAAAAATTAAAATTATATTTAAGATGTCATTCCATTAAATACCATTTAATTTTAACTTTTTTCAAATAAGTTTATAACACTCTTTTTTACAATATTAATAAATATTGTTTTTTTATAGTGATTATATTATTCTTAAATTATTAGTCAATATTCATTATAATCACATAATTAAAATTTTATTTCTTATTTTATTTCATTAAATACTATTCAATTTACCATTTATTTTCATATATATATATATATATATATATATATTAGCAATCATTGTATATATTATTATATATGAACCTACTACGGAGGTATTTTTAGTTTGTATATATGAATACTCAATGAAAATAAAGTTTATATATTATTATAAATTTTTTTAATTTTTTTCCCAGATTAGCCCTTTTTTATTATTATTATATTGCATGCAAAATGGCTAGACATGATTTTCAATTTGTTTTAAAAAATATATAATTTTCATTTTATTTTTATTAAATAAAATGTGCTTTATTATGTTTATCCAATTTGTCTACTATCATCTTTAATTTAAGGTTTGATTTTTATTTTTATTTTTTAAGACTTAATAATTACAATAAAAATTTTGTGAAGAATTTTAATGATTTTATTTTTAGATTTATTTTCTAAATATGTTTACCAGGCTTGATGTTGTGCGCTCCGAAAAGCTACCATGGACCAATTGTTTTGAAAAAGAGGCCCAAGCTCATCTTTCCAGTTGCACCATCGGGCCTGTTTTCTAGCCCATCTCTCAAAAGCAAGACTGTCCCTGTCTGACGCAACGCAGCGTATGCGCCCCTTCAAGATTCACACAGGGTAAGAAATGAAAAATAAAAAACTTCAATGGCCAAGATATTCATGGACTTCTATCACCTTGATCACACCGTCGTCCATAACGAAACTTTAGCAAGTCAAAACAAAACCCGGCAGTCAAAGATAACGGCACTCGACTATTCACTGGAGTAAAAAACACCAGCCTCGTTCTGTGGTGCGCATCTTCTGTTTCTCCGTAAGCCGCCACGTTGGCACACACCATTTCTTTCCTCCAATCTACCCGTCCGTAAACGGTACCGTGTGGAACCGGTCCTTAGAGAAGAGCCACGTCACCAATGAAGCCCCGACATGATATGCGACTTTACGGAATTAACCTTAGAGAGCCACGGACTTTGTGGTGGAGATTTGGAGATTGAAAGAGGAGGGCAAAAATGGGGGGAAAGTGCAGGGGTGTGATTTAGACTAATCAGCTACTAAATAATTGCCACATGGCATCATCTCTCTCTCCCTCATAGTTGGGCAGCCAACTTCAATAGCAGCCTCAAATAATATAAATTAATAAAAAAATAAATCCACAAAATATAGTGGCTGAGATTGTTCCTTGGTGTAGTTTCTGGTGTCTTCGGGGTTACCGAAAATTGGTTTTCTCTTCCCTCTGCCGCTTCCCCTCCTCATCAGTTCTCGCAGGACATAGTTTTTGCCTTTTCAATTTTTTTTCCTAGTTTCCGATCCACCATTGCCGGGAACAGTGAGTTTTCATGTGAGTTTCCGGTGAGTTCGTGCGTGCATGGTCGCTAACTCTATCCGTACTTGTACAGCTTTCCTTCACCATGACTTTCTCGCAAGGTACTTTCTCTCATTTCTAGGTTTTGTTTCTTTTCATTTCCCTTTGGTTGCCGAGAAATTTGAACCCTTTTTTTTTCTCAGAATTCTATCAGTTGATTTGCCTCATTAAATCAGTGAAAATATTCGAGATTTGTTTAAATATTTCTCTGCAACAATTATAGTCTACCGTTAAAAATTATTGGAAGCTGTTGTTAATCACTGATTCGGATTTCACTGTTTTTCTTTCTCTGTTTGTTTTTTGAAGGAATTGGAGTCTTTGTGTTCGTTTTGGTGAGGACTCTGAATAAAGGAATTTACTTTTAAGTTGTAACGGAGAAGCGTCTCTCTGTTCTGGTGGATTCTTTTATGTTCTTGAATGATTTATTGTACATATACTCTAAGCCTCTACCTCTATACTGGAAGTGGTATTTTATAGTTTATTTATACGTATACGTATAATTATAGCTGTTGTAATACGTACATACATACGGATTACAGAGAGACGAATCTCTATCGATTGTTAGTATCTTGTTTGGGTGTTTGCAGTTGTAGCGGATTTTCTGATTCTGTGGAATTCAAACAAGACGACGGCTTTATTGGTAGTATTGAGTGGTGCAAGAAATGAAGGGAGGCTTCTGTTCTATCCGTTGCTCGTTAGCGAGGATTTGAAGCAGCGTTAGCTGCTTAAGGTCCGGTAATGGATACATGCTCCTCTGGAGAAGACTTGGTTATTAAGGTAAAAAATAAATAAATAAATTAGTATTAGGTAACTTTTATTATTATATTATTGATCTTTAAATTGTTTCTTTCAAATTGAAATAGTATTGGTTTTGAATGTTTATATTTAATCTAATCTGAATTATTAAGTTGTGTTAATTATAGACGAGGAAACCATATACAATAACCAAGCAACGAGAAAGATGGACAGAGGAGGAGCATAACAGGTTCCTAGAGGCATTGAAGCTCTATGGACGAGCTTGGCAGCGAATCGAAGGTCTAATTTTCATATATTCTTCAGTTTTATTTTTTAAAATTAATATTGATGCGGGCTGATTTATTGTAAATTTATGAAGTGTTTTCAATATAAAAGTGGGTGGTTGATACGAAATTATGAATATTCCTTATAGGAATGCATGAAAAACTGTTCTTTTCTATTTTACTCTTAATTGGAGATCGGACTCTTCTCTCTTTGTGTTTTCATCTTGGTGTTATGCAGAACATATTGGTACAAAGACTGCCGTGCAAATCAGAAGTCATGCACAGAAGTTCTTTTCAAAGGTCTGTATCTATTTGCCTGCCTCTATATCAACTGTATATTTTTCTGCTTCTATATTTCTTGATTCGGCGCATCATCGTTGATTCTTCAGTTGTGTGCCATCTAAATTATATGCCTCAAGATTATTTTGTCATCATATATGTAATTTGAATTTCTGTTCACTCTTTTAGAAGGAAACTGTTTCTGGTGCTTGGAACCAACTAGAGTGTATATGTTGTTCTTACACATGCTTGTTGCACAATACCCACACAGCTTATCAAAGTTTTTGAGAGATTGACAGTGGTGGACTATTTGCTGGGACTTTTTTGAAATTATAATTGACAAGATCCATGCATAAGAGTTGAGTATATTTAACATGACTTTTTGAGGAAGATTGCCACCCCCCCCCCCCCCCCCAATCAAGAACATCCTCCCATAAAATATTTAGTCTCTAAAGATGATTGGTTTTTAAGTAGTCAGGGAAAGTTAGAGAAAAGAATAGGGGGTGTTTGAAACACTTTTTTTATGCTCAAATAGTACTAGTTCTTACGCATTGTGTTTAGACTCTCATAGAAGGAAAATAGCCACATTAGGATTTCAAGCAGCGTACATGCCACCAGTCAATATCTTTGATTAAAAATATCTATCTAATTAGCGAGTTAACTATAAGGGAAAATATGCATTTTGTATAATTTGTGCCCTTTTAGTCTCTGTAGCCATGTAGGTGGCACCTTTGGCTGTTACAATATGCAAACTTCATATTGATCCCTTTTAGTCTCTTTAGGTATGCATGGAGAATTTAGGCTCATGCCAGCCAGCATTTTCTACTTCGGACAAATTCAGAACCATCTAGAAATTGAACTATTGATCATCTAAGGTTTTAAATGAGCATGGAGATTTTTATTTAACAAATATGCTTCTAATAATTCTTGAGGGTTTGGAAGTTTCATTTTGGTTGTTTACTAGACCTGGACTGGAGTATCTGAAATTTCTGACAATGTATTTTGATGACCTTCCACTTTTGAATGTCATCAAGATCACCATATGTGCTTGTCAATATATCTACTTTGATTTGTTCATATATCATCAGGTGGAAGTTCATTGTAATCCATGATGCTGTTGATATCTTTGTGCTGACATATGGAGGTGCAGATGACTTTGTTGTCTTTTCTTACCATTTTTTAATAGTAATCTTTGTAGTTCATGCTGTTATGAAGATTATATCTGGACAATGTGTTGTGCCATCCCAAGCCACAAAACCTTCAATCAACATCAACTGGTTTATAGAGTTACATCTTGTAGAAAGGCACTAACTTCTAAGAAAGAATCCTACTGGAGTTTAGAAGGGTCTAGCATACTTTCATATGGTCATACTGTTTCTACTCAATTATGTAGAAATCAGTAACTTGGAATTTATAATGAACAATATAGAGGAGATTGGTGATCTTTTTGGCAGTGGCACCTGGGAAATCTGGATCTGTGATTTGTGACAATAGTGAACTTGCTAAGCAATTTCGTTAACATTCACCCATGAAATTATGTGGCCTACTGGCCTCGTCCAGTCACTTAAGTAGGTCTTGGCTGTTTTTTGTTGCTTAACTGTGGATTTTGACATTAGGACCCATGTTAGGTATATTTAGGAAAGTTTGTTTAAGGGGGGCACACTTTCTCTACTAACCAACAGACTTGTGCTGTCTCAGTTGGAGGGTGACCCCATTTTTTGTTTAAAAGAAAATGTTTCTTCTAGTTATTCATGGAAGAGCAGAGTACCAGAACAATTTCAATGAGGACTAGGAAATATTTGTTATCAGCATAAGGCTGTTTTCCAAAAGTAAATTAAAAGACAAAACAGATTTTTTAAAAAGAGTTAAAGAACAACTTCCAACATTTTAACCAATTTTATTAGAGCTTCAAATGAAGTGACAATGTGGACAGAGATGGCTATCCCAAGCTAGCGAAGTTTGAAGATATACAATCTCCTTATCATTGGTTGAATTAGTTGTACTATTTCTATTTCTGCTATTGTGATCCTTAGTCCTCTATAATTGCAAGAACCCTTGATATTAGTTGTGCTAGGCAGAGCATGTATGTTCCAATTTGCAGTCCCAGACTTGGTCAGTCCATATTGGATGTATTTTTAACTATGTTACTTTGTTATAGAAGCAACAAGATATGATTCACTCAACTAGTGTCTTAGAAGTGAAAATTCAGAGTATTACCATTCTTTCAACATTTTTGCAAAAAAGTTGCTGCTCTTAAATGTGAAAACTGCAACCGGCATGAGCCTTTTACCATTCGACCAAGAAATAGCCCCTAATTTTATTTGTATTGTATGATATTCTGGTTAATAAAGTATACTCTTTTCCACACTTAACATATGATTCTTTACTGTTAGATTTCCTTCAATTTTTTTAGGCCAGAGATGGAGGTGGGCTATTTTTGTGAAGGTTTCATAAAATGCTAATGGGACTATTTTATCTCTTTATCCATTTTAAGTATCAGACGTAAAATCTATGTGTTGCATGATAATAACCATTGGGAAAATCCCTCATGTTTCCCTGTTTGTGTCGAATTGGAAAACAAGCCTTTGTAAAGAATTATAATCAAAATCACCCTGTATTCATCACTTTTCATGAATTCAACCTGATTGGTCTGAATTGTAAACAACGTGGTCTCTCCCTCTAGGGTAAATTCATCACAGTTTGTTTACAATTTAATCCAACTGGGTTGAATTGATGAAATTTGGCAAATATAGGTACATTTGATGAAGTTTTTCTTTCAGGGGCTTGTTTGCCAAAGTAACACAAACACAAGGACTGAAATGGGGAGGGGGTTTCCAATATCATTGAATACTAACTGAAAAACAATGAAATGGCGAACTATATTGATTGGACTTTCTGTTTGGATCATAAACAATAGTTCCCTTCTTCAGTTTACCTTGATTTGTTGCTTATCTTTGATATAAATTAGAAAACGTTGAATGGAGTTTGATGATATGAAGGCTTATGTGAAAGATGTAAGAGCCAATTACCACATGAAGGTTTTCATCTTACCAAAAAAAAAAAATGAGATTCTTATTTGTTAAATTTGGAGTCACTGAACCTTTATATAAGATGTTGAAAACAAGCTGCCGAGCATGATGCCAACATTGATTAGTATTGAAATGTGAAAAATAGTTCAGCTCTTTCCATCTGGATTGAGTTTCTATTACCTGGTGTATGGTCAGTAAACTACCAAAGAATGGCATAGCTGTTACCATTCATTGTCCTGCCTAATCATTCAATATTCTGAGTATTTTCAGTGAAAATTACAACAAAATGTGCCCATGAGAAATCCCATGGTCTGTTTCTATCTGTCTCAACTTCATCTCCATATGTATTTTGCTGTTCTGATATTCAGTGAAAATTACACCAAAATGTGCCCATGAGAAATACCATGGTCTGTTTCTATCTGTCTCAACTTCATCTCCATATGTATTTTGCTGTTCTGATATTAAGGGGGGGCTGGTTTGGCCAAGGAGTCAAGATGACTACTTGGCCAAACCAGTCCCCCTTTTTTTTTTTGTTATATGAACAGTAGCAAGTATAGGAACAGTACTGAGTGAGTGTATGCGCAGATGTACTCTTTATAGATTATAGGTAAACTAATTTTACAGCATATTCAACTGACAAGGAGGGACTAGCGAACTAAACTACTGTATTTTATGATTTGAAAGAGGGCCACATGATTGAGGATGGATAGTTTTGTGAGGAATTGCAAGATTAGGAGTTCAAGGAGTTTAAGAGGGGAGATTATATTTTTAATAAATGAAAGGAACGGGTATCGAAAATCCCTCCCATTTTCCTATGCTTATTTCAATGAAACTTATAAATGGTAAGAGTAAACATCTACTTCGGAGGAGGTGGGGGGTCACATGAGCAAACACATCTGCATGAGATGGCAAAATGAGCAAGTGTAGGAGGATGCTATCTGAATAGCATATTTTCTTTTCTTTTTGAGCATGGGTGTGCTTTTTTTTGTAAGATCTCATGGAAACTCTTGAACATCAGGTGTTTTAGTGCTGCATATTGAGGCAGTTTATCCATCACGATTATTCCTCTTCTTTTGTATGTGCACCAAATAGTATAGCAGGCCTAGGTTATTTTTGGGTCGTTAACATGGAGATTTAGACCTAGGAACTACATTGAATGATGTTTAGGGGCATGGAGATGTCATCTCATAAAATTCTCATCTCATCCAGCAACATTTTAGGCGATGGGTTGTGGGATAAAGTGGCACAATTGGATTACTGAGGTAGCAAAAACTTTCTGCTGAAACGTAATGCATCTTATCTGACTTATTTTGGCAATATATAACTGCCTTTTTTACCGTGTTTTGATACTGAAAGGTCTTAGATATGTTACTATTTGGTTTCAATCCTATTCTTTCTCAACCAAAATAACATGCTTCTTCTGAGTTCATAGAATAAAGTTGCATGCCTTATATGAGAATATTTAGAAATACTCTTGTCTGATAATAAACTATTTCCGTGCTGAGGTCTTACCTTCGATTGTGGACTCTTGCCATGTTGTGGAGCTGATTTTTTTTCATGTAATTTATTCTCCGTTGAGGTGTTAACAAATATCTCACTTGCAGTTGGAGAAGGAGGCTGTTGCTAAAGGTGTTCCGATAGGAGAAGCACTTGAAATAGACATTCCACCACCACGTCCCAAAAGGAAACCAAGCAATCCTTATCCTCGAAAGACAGGTGTGGGTCCTCCCACATCACAGGCAGGAGCAAGGGATGGAAAGCTTTTAACTTCAACTTCTTCTCCACATTGTAGGAAAGTTTCAGATTTGGAGAAAGAACCACGTCCTGAGGTGAACTATCATTTTCTTTTTCCCTCCTTGTTCACTCAGTTGTTCCTTCCCCTTCATTACGATTTTTTTTATTGTACATTCTACAGAAACCTAATGGAGATGAGAGGCCAACCAGTGCTAAGGAAAATCAGGATGACAATTGCTCAGAAGTATTTACCCTTCTCCAAGAAGCTCATTGTTCCTCTGTAGCTTCAGTCAACAAGAATTGTGTACCAGCACTAGAGGTTCTCAAAAAGACTAGCTCTTTCAGGGAGTTTGTACCTTCACCGAAGAAGGGAAATCATGATGCATGCAATGAATCCTTTATCACTGTCGAGCATGAAGCAAATCAAAAGTTGGACAGCTCTGATGCCAATCAGACAGTTTTGGATAATGGCACTGTTAAAGCTTCAAAATCAGAAAATGCTTGCTCCTTGCATGAGATATTGTTTCAGCAAAAGAAATCAGATGATTTTACTGGAGCATTGCGAACAGATGGGATGCAAACCATGCAGAACTATCCAAGGCATGTCCCTGTACACGTTCTAGATGGGAGCCTGGGAACATGTATGGAAACTCCCTCTGATTTGTCATTTCAGGATTCCATGTTTCATCCGGTAGGAGATATTCCAGCGTGTCCCATTTTATACTCACATCCTGCTGGATCCACTACCACTGATCATCCAACTAATTTGCCAAGATCCTCTATGCATCAATCATTTCCATTTTTTCCTCCATTTACCCCGATTCATCATAATCAAGATGACTACAGATCATTTCTCCCCATATCCTCCACATTTTCGAGTCCCGTTGTATCTACTCTGCTACAAAACCCGGCAGCCCATGCTGCAGCAAGCTTTGCAGCTACCTTTTGGCCCTATGGAAATGTGGAGAGCTCTGCAGATTCTCCAGCATGTGCCCTAGAATGTTTCCAATCGGGGCAAATAAACTCTGCTCCCAGTATGGCAGCTATTGCCGCTGCTACAGTGGCAGCAGCAACTGCATGGTGGGCAGCACATGGACTACTTCCCATATGTGCTCCTCTTCACACTGCCTTTGCCTGCCCTCCTGCTTCTGCAACTGCAATTCAGCCTGCAGATACCGATCAAGTTCCTCCAGCCAAGCCAGAAAGGAAGGAAACAACTCCTGATAATCCTCCTTTGCAAGGTGAAATACAGGACCTGGAGCACTCTGAAGCTGTGCAAGCTCAAAACTCTGCGTCAAAACCACCATCGTTGTCATCATCAGATTCTGAAGAGAGTGGAGGCACAAAGCTAAACACTGGACCAAAAGTTACTGATCACGAGTTAAATTCAAAAGCTTCTGAGGTCCAGGATTCAGGCAAAACAAAGAGCAGAAAACAGGTTGACCGTTCTTCATGCGGTTCAAATACACCATCTAGCAGTGAAATTGAGACAGATGCATTAGAGAAGACTGAGAAAGGCAAGGAAGAGCCAAAAGAAGCTGATGTAAATCATCCAGCCTATGAGTTGAACTGTCGCCGCAGCAGAAGTAGCAGCAGCATGAGTGATTCGTGGAAAGAGGTCTCCGAAGAGGTGGCTAGATAAATATACTTCTCTGTTGATAATTATTTAATGGCATTCCTATAACCCAGAAGAGTAGAGATTATGATTGTATTTTGCATTTATCTCCACTCTATTCATGTTTTACTACTTTTATCAGGGGCGGCTGGCGTTTCAAGCACTATTCACCAGAGAGATATTGCCCCAGAGCTTCTCACCTCCACATGATCTGAAGAGTAAGATGCACCAGAAGGAAGATACTGAAGAAAAGAAAGATCCAGATGAGAATGATGGAGATGCGTCACTGTTAGATCTCAACAGCAAAACATGGGGTTACTGCTCTGGCTATCGAGAAGGGGAGAAAAATGCTGTAGTGCCTAGATGTGTAAACGATGGGGAGGAAGGGCTGCTGACTATTGGACTTGGACATCGAAATCTGAAGGCTCATCTAACCGGATTTAAACCTTACAAAAGGTGTTCACTGGAGGCCAAAGAAAGCAGGGTGGGAATCACTGGTGGCCAGGACGAGGAGAAAGGCCCCAAGAGGTTACGTTTGGAAAGGGAAGCTTCAGTTTGATACTTGATATTGCACGCTTAAACAAGGGAAAATCTTTGTTTTTGCATGTAATTTCTAATTTTCTCCCTTGTCTGTCATTCTGTTCATGTTTAAATTAGAGTAACTGCAACCCAGTCGACTTTTCGTGCAAGTGTATGTGCTTATATATCAGACATTGGCTTATTTACTTTCTTGAACCCATGACTGAGTATCCATCAAATAGACCTAGATAAGAACTTAAGAAGCATTAAGTATTGAATTGGCCTTGCATGGCCTTTCCCCCCCGAAGTTCATTATTCTTTCCTAACATCTAGGTTTTACTGCTCTCTTTCTTACCAATCACATTGTGGCTGTGACCACAAAGTATCTCCTTGTTGGTCAATTGCCCGTTGCCACTGATGTGTGAAAGAAAATTGAACTTGCGTTGAGATATCTTCTGATACAAGGTTTTTATTGTTATTGTTTTTATCACGAATTTGGATTATGTCTCAAAGAGTATGGATACAGAATGACATTTTAGTGTTTCTTTTAAGCAATTTTCTGAGGCTCGTGCCTTTTTCTCAACAGTCCATATCAAAGATTCTCACATAGGACGAAGGTTTGACAAGCTTCCACGTAGTTAAGTTATGGGCATGTGCGCAGCCATACGAGACTTTGCATCTAACAAGACAATGATGGCTGGTCATACAAAAGAATAACACACAGAGTGGGTTCAGAATTTTGCCTTCATAAACTAGCGTGCTCTATTTTTCATCCTTGTTTTTTACAAGTAGGAATCTTACTATTCACCTGATCATATTTGATTTTGATTTTGGATACAACTGATTTGAGGTAGCAATGAGAATTTCCGTGCAATCATCAACTTAGAACTTATGCTAAGAAAGCTGTCATATTTACAATTCTTTCCAGACATGGTAAGCAGTCTTATTTACACAGATCCATTAATGAATAAGCAGTCTTATTTACACATTCCTCAAACATGGATCATCCTTCTTCCAGCATGACGGGTCTGCTGTATGTTATTCTGCACATCATATATGCATCGAAGGGCTTCCTTGGTCATGTCAGCATATTACTGTGCATCCATTTCAAGAAACATGCAGGCTTAAAATTGCACGCCACATCTGACATTAATTTTCAGGTTATGTGTTGGTAATCTGCAGCGTAAAAGGGTTTCTAAATATAGCTGTACAACAGTTGTCTTCTACTTGGTAAGAGAATCAGGGGATTGTTCAGGAATAGGCTGCAACATTGAGAAGTGAGACCTATGAGACTGCAAGTTGAGAATGTAGCTTTGGATTCGCTTCCTACAAGCAGAAGTTAATGAAAACGGAGGTTTCAGTGGGAGAGATGTTGCTTCTTCTGCTATAAAATGAAGCAGAAGCATTGCTTTGGAATATGAGACATCAGCACCACCCTTGTTCTCCATATATTCATCTACCTGAAAAGATTACAAGAACTGCCTGGCATTAACGTATTTGTATAAGAAACAGGACAATTGATGCTTACAGCAAAGACGTTCGTCACTTACAGCACCACTTTTCCCAACAGCGAGTGCTTCTTGAAATATCAATTCCATGGCGTCAGGCATCTCAGCAGCAGCTGCAACATATTTGACAGATGAGAATATTGCAAAAGCAGTAACACGGGAAAAAATAAAGGCAAGTATTTACAGCAGATTGATACAAAGTCATACCATCCATGTCTCTGAGATTATGTGATAACTTCTCTGTACGATCAAACGCGAGAATGAAACTTTTTTCTGCCCACTTGCAGGCAGAAGAAGGCTCAATAAAATCCATTTTACCACTTGCTGGCGGGATCAAATCTATGCCTCCATGAACAAATGTAGATTCATTGGCTGAACTGCTTTCAGGTAATTCGCTCCCTTCATTAGAGGCTACCCAGTGGTCACAAATTTCAAGAACTTTCTTCCATATAGCCAAAACAACAGGCTCAACTGAAAATGATTCCAGAAACATTCCTGAATCATACTGCAAGCAATAGCAATTACAACTTTACATCAGAAACAGAAACAGAAAGGAACCATTTCTACAAGAAATCAAAAGTGAAAGATCAGTTTAAAAGCAACTGGGCATGTGCAAATATGTTTAGCAGTACTATATATATGTATCCTTTCTACTCTTCAGATACCTAATTATAGCACATGAAATTTTTTCAACACTGCATATAATATTATCCTATAGCTCAAGAATTCAAAATTAATATTAAAAATGGTTCTCGTAAGACATAAGACTAAGGTTGGTGATACTGTGAGTCAGTTTCCACTGGACAAGTTGCTCATGAAGAAACCTAAAAGGAAAAAAGAACCTCTGTTTATATACTTTGCAGTTGTACCATATGCCACAATGGGCATCTGGATTTATAACCCATCTTGTCTTAGAAAACTTAACATACTAACCTTTTCTTGGGCTAGTTCTCCAATTGCCTGTGCATACTGATCTAGGAAGTGAAGCTTAATTGAGGGATGTGGTATGGGTAGTCCTTGCACTTCCCTTAATATATTTGGCACACATGAGGCAGTTAATGGCTCTGATCCATAGACCTGAGGATCGTTTGCACTACCAACAGAACTACCAGTAAACTCCTCTGTTTGTATAGCAACAACCATATCCTGGTTATTTTTCTGTGGTAGCTGTACAGAAGATTTGCTGGTGGAGCTATCTTGCAGAGATGTTTCAAGGTAATAAGAGAAATTTTCCGTTGAAGAAAAATGACGATTGACAATAACATAATCCTTCTCCAGGGACTCCATTAAATCAGCAACTGAATAGAAAAGAGGAAATCAGTACTTGCCCAAAAAAGAAAAAACTACGAGCTGAATTGTAACATATAAGAAAGCAAACGGAATAGAATAGAATAAAAGCAGACCTCGAAGCTGATACAATGAAGATTGGCTGCCATAAGCAGATCTCCTCATCCTATCATGCACAATACTTGGCACAATCCCATGAACACTGTCATTTCTGGATGTACTGTCATGAACCTTTGCCAGCACTGTTATGTTGTCATGCTCAGATGTGCTAGCTAATATTGCATTTCTATTAGCTGAGTGCAAGCAAAGCTCCATTTGAGACCTTGTATTAGAAGCAGACGCATCAAACTGCTCAACTAATGATTTCATTTGTGGAAATGGAGGGGATTTAGCATCCAGTAATAGCCTACAGAATTTTGTGGTGGTAAATATATGCAAGTAGCTTTGATATGCCTAACTGCTAACACGTCAAAGCAGAAAGTCTCAACAGACATGAAATGCACCAATAAGAAAGCATAAAAAAATGAAGGTCCTGACTTCAGAACATTACCTTGGCTCCTTAAGGAACTTGTGATTGAAGAACTCCTTGAATGTTAATCGCTCAACTGCAAATAAAAGTCAGAACATCTACATGAAAATTTCATAGGTTACAGCACCAAGTGACTCAGATATGACCCTTATACTTTCTAGCTTGGCTTATATACTTAAAGGGGGTGATTGGAACAATGGTAGATGTTGCTTTTCAAAGAGTTTTTTTATTGGAAATGCATTAAAATAATATTTTTTTTATTTTTTAAAATTCACTGATGACACAAACACATCAAAACGATCCAAAATCACAAAAAAAAAAAACTAATAATTTGCAGCAAAAAAAAAATATATACAAAACTCCGTTTAATGTGGGGCGAACACCCCCTTCCTCCAGTAGTCCACCCCACCCACATGCAATGACATACCAAGCATGCGCACATATAATAGAACAAAAATTTCACCATAGTAATCAGTACCAGGGTTTCGGCATAAAAGGCTTCTGCAAAGATCCACACAATCTGGATGGAGCTCCTCCAACGCACCTTCCGGAAACCTCAGCTCTGTAGATGTCAAAATATTCTGGAAAAGCTGTTTACAGCAATTAGCAGTGAGAATTAGCCTTGAGCTGTATAATGTATGGAAAATCTTTAGGTTTCTCGTATATTTAGTTTGAGCATAATTCTTTTTAAAACCTGATATTGGCTGTTACCATCAAATGGAGGCTTCCCAGTTACCAGCTGGAACAAAACTGCCCCAACACTCCATAAGTCAGCCTGCATAAATGATAAATTATGTTAAAGATTATACTTCTAAAAAATTAATTTCCTTACTATCAATTTTATGTAAATTCAATGTTACATCACCTTCGCATCATACTTTTTATTCTGAATAATCTCTGGAGCCATGTATAATGGTGAGCCACATAGTGTATCAGCCAAGTCTGATGATGTCAAAGACCTGGCATATTTAGAAATTCAGGGAGATAGCCGAGTGTTAGAAAGAATCTCATGAGCATTACAAAGCAGCTTAGTATTTTAGGTTTTTGGCATTCAGATCAATAAGAAATATTTGTCAAGTTTAGCTGCTTAACGAAGCTGCTACTTGCTTGCACAATTTTCTCAGTGAACTAGACTTTTCTACATGGTAATTATTACATAGAGTTAACAAATTTATTTACAAAGCTACTCAAAAATTGTGTTTTCACAGATGTATAATAACAGAAACCAGCAATGTTACTTCCATGACGACCCCTTAAACCAAGAGCCGATCATAAATCTGATCATTCAATAGTATATGGTTTTTGCAGTGATTTAAGAAGTTTCATATATAGCATTGGATCGCATTATTCAAATTATTCAAGAGCATATAAAGGCAAGCCCTATTTATCAAATTGTCTCTCTGAAAGATAAACATGAAATTGGGATGCCACTTATGAAATATATGGGCCTGGATAAACTGTGATAAACTTTGTAGGCAAGCCAAATAAACGGGAAGAGAACATTTCAAATTGGTGGAGTGTGCTAAAAACAACAGACATTTCTATTCTTAGAAAAATCTGAAATGAATATCACTTTCCGGGGAAAAAAAACATCAGTACCATCAAAGCATGCTTACCTTGCAAAGCCAAAATCACCTATCTTCAATTGTGGAGTTAAGTCATTTGACAACAAAAGTAGGTTCTGCAAGTATGACAACTTCCAAGTTCAGAATGACAGTAGAGTGAGAGAAGCTAAACTAGCGGTTAATAACCATTGAAAGCAAAATAGAACAGAACATAAGAATACTGTATGAGCAGACAAAAAACAATATGTGCAGATGCAAAGGCCCTGACAAAAAGGATCCAAATGTGATGATATAGCCAGACACAACAACTACAACAATAACATAATC